CTAGTGTATGGAGCTGAAACGTGGAGAACTACTACGGCCATCATCAGGAAGGTACAAGTATTTATAAATAGTTGTCTACGCAAAATACTGAACATTTACTAGCTGGATACTATCAGCAACAGCGTTTTATGGGAGAGGACAAACCAGCTTCCATCTGAAGAGGAAACTAGGAAAAGACGTTGGAAGTGGATCGGACATACATTAAGGAAATCACCAATGTGCATCACGACTCAATCCCTAACTTGGAATGGTGAAGAGAAGCGGAAAAGAGGAAGGCCAAAGAAGGAGATATGAAAAAGGATGAATGTTAACTGGAAGGAACTGGAGAGGTAGGCTCAGGACAGAGTTGGATGGCGAATGCTGGTGAGCGGCCTATGCTCCTCGACGAGGGGTAACAGGTGTAAGTAAGTAAGTAAGTAAGGATGAGGTTTATTAATATTGAAAATAATGAAAATTCAAATCTGTATTTATTTCCATTAATTAGTTTCTTTTATGAAGAATACTCGTTTCTTTGTCATCAAAAGTTACTAAGTTGATTTTATTAACATTTTAATTCATAAACATCAAAAGTGACTTGAAGAAGGGCTTGTCCTTTTTTTCGAAAAAAAGATTTGTTTACATTTTGTTAGTAAACGGTATAGTTTCAGTATACATAAACTCATTCTAAGCAAAGATGAATAGTGGCTAACATTGGAATTAAAGACGCATATTTCGTCCTATTTCGGACTCATAAGTAAAATACACCTGCATCCTGTAATTGATGTTCACTCTGAGACTCCAACCCAGTACCGTTCACTTCAAACGTCATCACGATATCCATTCAGCTACCGAGCCCTGTTAGCCACTCACTTGTGTAATGCGGTGAAAATATATTCACTTAGTATTATTTGTTTGACTCTTCTCATTGATGTTTAAGATTGCGATTCATCAGTCTCTTAGTGGCATATGTCCATACTGTGCGAATTGACTCGATATAGCCTTAATTCACATAAATATACTTTTTCTAAAGGAGAACAACTATTCCGAACTGAAATATTCCACATTAGAAGCATACCCTTAAATAATATTATTCAAAGCATCGCATCCTTATTCAATTACAGTGTGAGTAAATATTCCTAGTTTATTTTTGATAGTGCAAGCGAAAAATTCACAACAGTTCGAATATGATGGTCGATCTTGTTTGACTTGAATAATAATTATGAAATATACGAGCTAACTATCATAGAATTTTGAAATACACTCAAAAACCAAAGCAATTCTATATGAAACCCTAATTTCATTCCATTTAGACAAATGGTCCTGGTTCTTTTATTTGTTCTCTTCTAACAACGGTGACTATTACTTCATTGATTAAGTGAAGCTATATTAACATTAAAAAACGTGAAACATTTTCAAGCTACTTATATTTTATTAAGTAGTGTGACTTTTTTAGGATATTTCGAAAAAATTAACAACATTAGGTTGATGGAGGTATTATTTTTCTGTATCCCTAGCAATACAATTTGAGTATATGGCTATAAATACTACAGAAACTGTGATTACTTTATTGAGATATATATGCGCAAGTAGTTCATAACCACACTTTCTTTAGTACAATAACTATCAATTTTGTGACGAAACATTTCTATTCCTCTTCTTTTTCTTCTTGGAATATCTAGATGACAGGAACACGTAGCCCAGATGATCAAGCAGGCCACCATGTCATATGATCTGACTAGTTGAACTCCATGAGGAATACTTAATTTTAACTGAATGTGGAAATTTTATGACTTTTATGATTTAAAAGTCAATTTCTCAAAAGATTTTCAGAAATCGTTTCATTTGATCGTTCAAATAGACGTTTTCACATGTCGAAAATGTCTTGGACGATTATTCTATTCCCGAAATTTTCATACAAAAAATCAGTGGAAACAAAAGGATTCACTACTACTAGACTAATGAATAATGAAATTACTTGGAAACAATCTTTTGTTTCCCTTGTGAATTTAGCGGTTGCTAAGCATTACGTTTTCTTTTGTATACTTATTCTGTGAAAAAATCATTTGTACTTCAGTGACTTCCTCGTATCATGAAACCGCAGCAAATCAACTACTCATAAGCTCCCAGTTGTCTCAGGAGATTCGCTTTCATCGAGAACCCTACACCTACAAACAACTATCTGAAAATTATATCATCATTACTACTTGAAAAAGACATGGCTAAAAACAACTCTGACTACAATTAATATTGCCGAAGGAAATATACTACTTTTATGAACCGGATCATGAGTATTCTATTGACCAAATAAGACGGCGCTTCTGATTGTTGAGAATAGGGTACAGGTGAATGGTGGAGTGTAGATTTTAAAATGCATTCCACACCCTTAAAAAACTAATCCTGTTTGAAAAGTGTTATTCGTTTCATTAGTGATGTATTATAAATTTTCTTGAGTTGCTTCACATCAGCGCTTAGATAAAAGTCACACTGTTACTAGGAAAACTCTATACTAACCATTGTTTAACAAAGTGCCTTTGAAGATGTCGGTCATACAATGTAAATTTAAAATAGTGTAAAAAAGGTTAGAGATTGATCCTGATAGCCACTTAATTGTGCAAGGACTCACTGGCCGAGTGAATAACGCGATGGCGTTTGAAGCGAAAGGTACTGGGTTCGAATCACAGAGTGAACATCAACTCGGAGATGCAGGAACACCTAGATGACGAGTAACAAATAGGATAAAACGCGCATCGAACTAGATTCCATTGCTAGTCACTATCCATCTTTGCTTAACATGCTTGTGAATTTCGGCTATATCGAGACATTATGCGAAACAGTATGCACATATGCCAATTAGAGACTGACCAGTTGCAGTCCTAAAGCATCAATGGTAATATCCGAACAAACAATACTAATTGAATTTATTATTATTATTATTATCATTGATGGCTCTATTCAATCTAGAACTCTTAGCACAAATTACTTGGAAAAGTTTTCTTTTCTTATTTCTTGATCGATCCTGATGATAAATATTTGGTGATCGCCAGTTAGATGTTGGTCGTTCATGAACACACATCTTCAAAAAGTTCATTCTTTTCGAAGAATATTGACAGCCGATACAATGTCTTATGACACATTTTCGTAACTTGTATGGAGATAGGTTGTGATTTTTTCATCAACGCACCTGAATAGGTCATGCGATTGATAGTCACAATGATGTATTAAAACGAATAAAAGCAGGTAGAGATCATGAATCGATTGATGTTAGATCACTATTAAAAACCTGGAAGCAGTGAACAGCCGTTTAGTCTTATTATGAGACTCCTTAGAAATGCACATTCACGGTCTCGTGTGCTGGGTTCGAACGCAGGAACTTCAGTCTCATGCGCGAACGCTTAACCTCTAGACCATTGAGCCAGTATCCAATGTTGTTATTTATTCTATATCCTTTCATGAATCAAAAGCTGTTGTTATATTTCACGCTAAAACTCATTAACTTCTTAACAATCATGCTGTGATGTATGCTTCTGATGTAGTCAGATATAAGTAGTATGGTTCATCAATCAAAAGTGAAATACCTGTCGTCAGAAGGTTGAGAAGATAACGATAATAGAGAGTGATTGGTGTGGAAACAAAGTAAGTCCGAGACAGTCGGTTAGCATTTAACATATGAATAATTTACTGTATATTTCTCGGTTCTTACTAAGAGGTTCTATAAATTTGTATTCAAATACATTTAGTTATCCCCGCTTGTGTTCACGTTCCCTACAATACAACTATTCATAGACTAATAACTTATGTGTATGTTAAACATTGTACAGTTTAAAAATGAACAATCTGAAAATAGATTTCTTCATTGAATTACATTTCAAAAGGTGATTGACAAATGTGTAATTGACAAGTTTCAATTTGATCAAAATAACTGACATACTATGACATGCCCATTGACATTCTACTAATGTCTTATACGAAATGACATCTTTCACTCGTAAAGTCATAAAATTTAAAAAAGGTCTCTGTAACAACTTCATATGAAGTATTTACTAAATATTACGGTAAAACTATAATTTATGGACGACCTTTGAGCGACGCCAAAGTTACCTTGAGAGTGTTTACCTACTTACAAGGGTTAAATGAGGGTTACAGGGATTATAAATTATAGTTGATGGTTAGGTTTAGTAATTAGATTTACACATTTTCATCATGAACTGACATCAGTTGAAATGCCAAGACGTTGTTTGATCAAATGGGTCAGTGAATTCCACGTCGAAATCCAACACCTATCATCCTAAATATGATTAGTTCGTTCATGAAGCATAGTCCCGCCAATGTCACAATTGGAATCATAGGAAACCACTTATAGAAATCGACATTTATTAACTACTGCATGGGGATACATGCTTCACAAAAAAGTAATAATAATGATAATAATATTTAATGAAAGATAGATTCAAACATGGTTTAGATATATTGAATAGTCAAAGTTAACGTTAGTTTATAGCATTGATAGGGCATTATTCATTGTTTAATTGATCTACGCCTGTTCTGTAAAAGAAAAGAATAAAGGAACACAGTTATTCATTCAATGATCACCTTAGTAATAAATAAATAATGTGAAGATTTCTATATTTTGAATGCTTTATATCTCTATGACTATGTCAGAAGGGTTATTTCCTGGAGTTCTATTAGGAAGCAGTGACTAGTGGAGTTCAACTGCATCTGTTGTAAGATAGTAACTCACTGAAGACAATGGTTGATGTGTCGCTCAATTTCATGGACCGATTGAAGTTAGAAACTGATAGGTCCTGGGTTCGAATCTCACGAAATGGGATCATGAATGCGTATTGCTGAAGAGTCCCTAAATGGAAGAAGTGGGTCCTCCAGTGCTTCTAGGTTTTTCATGGTTGTCTAGCTTCAATTGACTAATGATCTCAACTATTGAAATTTATGTTTTTATTAACAATATCTGAATTGTCATATCGAATTTAGATGAATGGCTTAAATCAGTATCTTGTGTGAATTACTCATAAATACTGTTTATCATAGATACATCTACTATGATGTAATGCAATCTAATATGAGAAAAAACTCTATAATAGTTAATGTGAGATATGAAGCGTTCGTGCGAGAGACTGAAGGGTTCGAAACACGCGTACGCGATTGTGAATACGCACTTCTGAGAAGTCTCATAATGAGACGAAATGGCCGTCTTTTGCTTCCAGATTTTTAATGGTGATCAAACACTGATTCATTCATGATCTTAATCAATAACTCAATAATCTTTACAACCCCAAACAAATGTTAAGTTGTTAGTAAGTAAGCTATTATAGAAAGGTATAGCTATCAATCCATTTTGTATGAATTACGAATAGCCAAGGCTTCAATAAACCTGACAATTTGTATACAACGTTTTAAAAGGTATTTTGATGTCAATTCTGTGCGTCGTTATTTGATTGATCGAACGGTTTAACTTCAGTGGACAATCAAATAATACAAGTTTTTGATGAATCTAAGGACTTATGACAATGAAGACTTCTGAACAGATAAAAAAAAATAAATTTAATTAGTATTGTTTGTTGGAATCTTCCCATTGATGTTTCTAGGACTGCAACTGGTCAGTCTCTAATTGGCATATGCGCATACTGTGCGTATTGCCTCGATATAGCCTAAATTCACAAGCATTGTAAGCAAAGATAGTGTCTAGCAGTGGAATCCAGTTGGATGCTCGTTTCGTTCTATTTTGGACTCGTCATCTGGATGTACCTGCATCGCAGATTTGATGTTCACTGTGGGACTCAAACCCAGTACCTCTCGCTTCAACGGCCATCGCGTTATTCACTCGGCCACTTTACAATCTAATATTAAAATAGGATCAAATATTTATTTTTACCCTGCAAGCAATATTAGGATTAGGGCAGATTATTTCTCCTTGAATTTGTTTAGTTTGAATTTTGGCTACTCCTGAATTACACTGGAATGGTTTACCATTAATAATCACTTGAAGACCACCAGAACATGAATACTGAAATGAATATAAGAAAAACGGAATTGGTGATCAAGAAGGGAGTAAAAAGAAAACATAACCATTCCGAGGTGTAGGTTACTTATATCCACATAAATAGCATTGAATGTATTATAGTAGAAGATCGATATGGGAAGAACGGGAACAAAACTCAATCAGTATGAAAATGCATGAGCAATAATAATCGGGGGTTATAGACTGATGTTTGCAGAAGGAACAGTCAAAATTAAGACTATTGATTGACAGTTTGAAAATGAACTGTCTACTGTATGGTAGTCCGATTTTCGTGAGATAGTCTTTAATCTTATGCTCAAATACATTCGATTATCCCTACTTGTGTTTTTATTCACTATACTATCATTGTCATTATAAGTAGATCTAAATAACCATACACAGTTATATGAGTAGTTGAACAGTTTACTTCTAGTGTTGATATTGATTTTTACGTTCAAAAACAATATTTATTTATTGTATTATGCAAACAGTATCATAGGGGAAATTGTTTCCAGGGAAGCAACATTATCTGAATACAAATCATTATGTACAATATTACTAAGGTAAGGACAATGAAGGTTTAAAAACATTTCTATATCCATCATAATCTTGAGTCATTTATAGTATTCCTTATTAGTACTCTGTGAAAGTATAGATGATAATTTCTGTGTTTTCTGTCTAAGGTTATGTATCATAAAATCCTGTTTGTACCAACAAGATAATCATTGAAATATGATGAATAATATACACTGCCGAGGAGTCCCACAATAGAAAGAAACGGCCTTCCAGTGCTTTCAGGCTTTCCATGGTGATTTAACTTCAATTAACTCATGATTTAAGCTATAAAATTACTGTAATCTCCACAAAACTCCTACTGATCTATCATCATATGCTCACTAGTGACTGACTGTAAGGAATATTTCCTTGAGTTCTAGTGGGAAGCAGTGATCAGTGAAGTTCAACCAGATCTGTTGTGAGACAATAGTGAATGGTTGCTCAATTTTGTGGATTAGTTGAAGTTAGACATTAACACCTTTGAATGCCAGTTGATCAGTGGTCTAATGGTCAAGCGCTCGGGCGCGAGACTGATATATTCCTGGGTTGGAATCTCACGAGGTGAGATGATGGATGCGCATTGTTGAAGAGTCCCACAATAGGAAGAGTTGGCTGTTCAGTGCTTGCAGGTTTTCCATGATAGTCTAGCTTCATTTGACTCATGATTTCAACTATAATAATACATATGTATTTTCCGATTATTATACAACAATGTATAACATATTTCTTAAAGATTACCTGATGACATGTTGCTTTAACTCGAGGATCATTTGTTGCTTTTCCATTCATTTCAGCTCTCCATGCTCCTTTATGTATAATACACATTGAATTATTACCAAAATCTTGAGCAAACATATTTCCCCTTTGAGCTATCGAAATAAAATTTTATTTATTAGAAATTTTCATGAAATTTTCTAACATTGCTGCTATAGATGAATGAAGTTTATTCGGATTGAACAGTGGCTAGCAGTGGAATCCACGACGCGCGTTTCGTCATATTTAGCACTCATCAGTTGGATGTACCTGCATCCTAGAGTTGATGTTCACACTGGGACTCGAACCCAGTAACTTTCTCTTATCCACTCGGCCACTGAGTCCTAAGTAATACTAAGTAAATTTATATTGATTACCTAAAATTCAGCAACCTATTCATATTCAAATAATGTTCTGCGTATACTTATCATGAAAAATTCCTTGAAAAAAAACCAAGAAAAGGGCTCTGAAAACGCTAGGAAGCATCTTATTCAATCAGCATTCAATAGAAGGTTTGTCAGAAACATCTAGAAAGTGAGAAATTCATATATCGTGTTTCTGATTGGATGACTATCAATTCTGATATTATGTTTAATAGAGTTTCAGAAGTTTCCGGAAACCCAAGGCCATCTAAGTTGCTATAAATACCATAGATTTTCTGTATATAAAAAAAACCTTATAGTAAAACATATCCCTCATATTTCGTGCCTTTTCTCTTGTGTTCAAGCTGCTGTGCAGATTTAACCTAGGGGTTACTAGAAAAGCTTATGAACCGAATCTTACGTTCAATTAGAAGACTTATCGCCATTAAATCTTGTATCGAAACGGTTCACATAAATATTATTCAAAAGTTTTATTGAGGTTTTTTTCTTGTTAGCGTTTTTTAGCCAGTTGGTTTTCTACGGGATGGGGTCGCTAACCCCATGCCCAACCTTTCTCCTTGGCCCGGGCTTGAGACCGGCAGTAGCCCTCGGAGGAGCTACAGGCGGATCTGATGCAGATGTGAGGGCGCGGATCGGCCAAACAACAGCAGCATATTTACAACTGAAGAACATCTGCAACTCAAAACAATTGTCAATCAACACCAAGATATGAATTTTCAATACAAATGTCAAGACAGTTCTACTGTATGTAGCCGAAACTTGGATAACTACGAAAAACATCATCCAGAAGATACAAGTTTTTATTAACAGTTGTCTACGAAAAGTACTTCGGATCCGTTGGACAGACACTATCAAGAACAACCTAACGTGTGAGAGTACAAACCAGATTTCAGTGGAGGAAGAAATCAGGATGAAGCGATGGAAGTGGATTGGGCACACATTGAGGAAATCAGCCAACTGCATCACAAGACAAACCCTAACATGGAATCCTGAAGGCCATAGAAGGAGAAGAAGACCAAACAACACATTATTCTGAGAAATTAAGACAGACATGAGATGAATGAACAAAAAGTGGATAGAACTAGAAAAGAAGGCCCAGGACTGAGGCGGTTGGATAATGCTAGTCGGTTGCCTATGCTCCATTGTAAGTAACAAGCGTAGGTATGTAAGTTTATTGAGGCCTAATTACTACTTAATTAATCTCTATATTCAGTGAACTATTACATTTTCCTCATATGAATCCTTTATTATGAATATATTTTTGATAAATACTATCGATAGCTAGAATTAGATCTTCTTGAATAGTCATTGATTACCAGTTTTCATTACAAATTTGAAAGCTACCCGAATGCTTACCAACAGGAATGTTCAACTGATGATCACAGTATGTTACAAGTGGTTCATTGAAAAAGCTACGCATAGGCTGTTGTTATTTTTAAAGATAAAAGAAAAAGTATGAAAAGAATACGGATTAATGACTAAATATAAGAAAGATAGTAATGATTCAATAGATTCCAATACAATCCAATATACAGTTGAATAAACAGTAACTAAAGCAATCTGATCAATCTATAGGATGGATCTCAGCATTCAGTCTTTGAAGGCGCTTACTGACTATTTGTTGAACTAGTGGATTCTATTCGTCATTCATTTTTCCCAATTGGAGCATACTTAAAGACCAAGGAGAGTTACTCAAACGTCATTGTTTAGTATGGGATCGCAGTGAAGTGGACTAACACAACCTAAACATAAGTCGCAAAGGGGACTTTCAGAATTTAAGGAGAATGTTTACCTACTAAAACTACTGGGTGAGGGTTCGTCGGTATAACTTCAACCTCATTGTGTAATGCTTCATAGTCTCATACTAAGATAATACAGCTATTTTAGACTTACTAATTTTCATTAATACGCTTACAGAGACTCTTCTGCGATGAAAACAAGCAATCAAATGTATAGAACTTAGTAGTATATTCAACATTTACCATATGCATACATTCCTACAATCTGTAAACAGTCAAAAATTTTACTGAAACATCAAGGTGTAGAAAATGGGATTTAAATTAGCGTAAATTCTTCTTATAACCAAAGATGGAAATGGCAATATCGAGGCAATACGCATAGTATGCACACATGTCAACTGGAGACTGACCAGTTGTAGTCCTAAACATCAATGGGAAGATTTAAACACACAATACTAAGTGACCTTTTCGTCCTATTATGGGACTTCTCAACAGTGCGCATCCAAGATATCGCACTCGCGAGATTCTAACCGGCTCAGTGGTCTATCGATTAAGGGCTCTGGCTCGAAACTGGTAGGTCCTGGGTTCGAATCTCGCTAGTGTAGGATTGTGGATGCGCACTGCTGAGGAGTCCCATAATAGGACGAGTTAGCCGTCCAATGCTTTCAGGTTTTCCATGGTGGTCTAGCTTCAATTGAATCACTCTTTCAACTATGAAAATACTAAATCCCCACAAAACCCCTTCTAATACTAAGTGAATTCTTCTAATAACGTTTGTCAAATGATTTGAAAAGTTACTTTTAAACCTTTCATAATACATTTTCTTAACATTCAGATTAAATGAATGATTTCAATCAGTTTAGACAAGTGAATATCATAGATAAGAGCATTCTAAATATATTAAGAATAAAATCAATAAAGTACTAACTTGAATCAATGGACATCTATCGTTTAATACGCTAGTCCCTCCTTGAGTAGGATCATTGAAATATTGTTCAGTAGGTGGTAAGCGTTGAGTAAATCGTCCAACAGCACAAATACCAAATGCTTTTTGATGATAGCATTTTAAAGTATCTGGTTCATCACAATAGGGTTCCGTACTTTTTCCTCTAAAATAAAAAACAACCCATCAACAATTCATACCAAAAATATAATCGAAGATTGTTGCCAACCAGACAACCATTTCAATAATAATAATAATAACAATAAAATTGATCTTACGCTTGTTTCATTCGCATCATGTAGGCATAACAACTTTCCATAACAAAGCTACAACCTAAATTCTTTCCATAATACCATGGTTCAGCTAATGAATAGTCAACATCCCACCAACTAAATGAATTGAGAGGAAAAGAAAAAAATGATGAAATATGGTGAAATGAATTTATGGTTCGGATTGTTTTTTATACATTAAGAATAACTGATACCCACTTTTTTAAGTGGTTCATAGTTTATGTCAGACTAAAAAGACTATCAGAAAGAAGCGCTGAAAGTAGACTGGGCACACTTTGAGAAAATCACCAAATTGCGTCACAAGACAAGCCCTCATCACATGGAATCCTTAAGACTATAGGAGAAGAGGAATACCAAAGAACACAATACGCCGAGAAATAGGGACAGACATGAGAAGAATGAACAAAAATTGGATAGAACTAGAAAGGAATGATCTGGACAGAGTGGGTTGGAGAATGTTGGTTGGCTGCCTATGCTCCATTGGGAGTAACTGGCTTAAGTAAGTAAGTAAAAAGACTATCGGTTTCAAGGAAAGTCATTCATTAGCTAAGAGACAATATATTGTTTGTAATAAAGAATTTATGTTTTGATTAACTGTTTGCTTTCTAGTTCAGTAGTTATATCATGAATCCAAGTATTTTAAACAGGATTAATGGTCAAATGTTGCTTACTCTCCCATTTTTATTACTTCTTGTGGTTGAATGGATTATGAAGACCATGACATTTGAGAGGAAGCAGGGAATGCAATGAACAGCTCGGAATCAATTAGAAGATATGGACTCCGCAGATGACATAGCTCTCCTATCCCATATACATAAACAAATGCAGATGAAGAAAACTAATGTAGCAGCAGCTTCTGCATCAGTAAGATTCAATTTACACGAATGAAAAATCATGGACCTCAAATGCGAAACATGGGACACCAACGTAATTACACTTGATGAAGAAACTCTGGGACAAGGAGAATCTGATGCAGACGTAAAAGCGAGGATTGACAAAGCAAGGACAATATTCATTTAGCTGAAGAATATATGGAACTCAAAACAACTGTCTCTATGCAGATATCAAAGTCAGAATCTTCAATACGAATGTTAAGATAATTCTATTGTATAGAGCTGAAACTTGATGACTTACTATAACCATCATTAAAAAAGTAAAATTATTTAAGAACGGTTGTCTATATAAGATACTCAATGTCCGTTCACCACATACCATCAGCAACAGCCTACTGTGAGAGAGAACAAATCAACTTCCAGATGAGAAAGAAATTAGGAAAAGAAGTTGTAAGTGAGTAGAACACACATCGAGCTGCATCACGAGGCAAGCTCTAACTTGGAATCCTGAATGGAAACGGAAATGTGGAAGGTCCATGAACACACTACTTCAGGAAATGGAAGTAGACATAAAGGAAATCGAAAGGAATGTAAAGGATTATCCATGATAAAGATGGATGGAGAATTCTGTTAGTTGACTTATGTTCCTTCACGAAAGATAACACGAGTAAGTAAAGTAAGTGAGTTGTTCACAACCTCAGACTTAACAATGATAGTACTTTAGAATATTACACAACTACAGTAATGTTGAAATGAATACAAATCGTCCAAGCTAATTATAAATTTAAATGAAGTATTATCATTCATTGAAACAGTCAAATATATAACCCTGCTATTAGTTTATGAAAAGTATAACAAAATTTAAAATTCAGATAAAATCGGTATGATCATAAAAGAATCAGGTGAAACATAAGATGCAGCTGACGAGTCCCAAATAGGACGAAACGCGCGTCAAACTGAATTCTATTGCTAGAAACTATCCATCTTTGTTTACAATGCTTGTGAATTAAGGCTATATCGTGACAATACGCAGAGTATTCACATATTCCAATAAGAGACTGACCAGTTGCAGTCCTTAAACATCAATGGGAAGATTCAAACAAGTAATACTAAGTGAATTAGATAACATTATTTTCTGAATTGTATTAACTTACCCAGAATCTGTGAAGAATGCCAATGTAAGCCTTGAAAGTACAGATTTCACTCCAGTAACACCCGCCATTGTTTCATCCTGCAATATATACATACTATTTATATATATTACAAATATTAAATTACCTTTTCAAAAGATTCAACCAAACAATACTAAGTGAATTCAAACTTCACCTCATTGCAAAAGCAAGTGGCTATCAGGACTCAGTAGCTCAGTGAATAACGCGATGCCGTTTAAAGTGAGTCTCAGAGTAAACATCAACTCTGAGGTGTAGGCACATGCAGCTGACGAGCCTCGAATAGGGCGAAACACGCCCACTGGTTTCCACTGCTAGCCACTATCCATCTTTGCTTATAATTATCGAAACATTGTTTGATAGTCTTTTACTTTAGGTCTAATGAGATAATAACATCGAATGATTTATATTTATGAACAGTTAACACTAGTTAGTCTCAGGGAAATAACAGACTCCATATCATTACTTATTGGTCATTGTAAGTGAATCAAATTTATCATATTTCGAGGAAAAAACAAATCATGAAATCTTTGAGAAGGACTAAAATGATAACGTTTTATCTATTAGTTTTCATATTATGATCCTACATGGAACTCTGTTCTGGGCAAAGTTTTTCATTTGTTTCCGACCACTATTCATTCTTCTGACATCTGCTTCCCATTTGCGGTGCAGTGTGTTTTTTGGCATTCCTTTTTTTCGATTCCCTTCAAGATTCCAATTTAGCTCTTGCATCGTGATGCAGTTTGATGAGTTCCCAAATGTATATACTAGCCACCTCCAGCGACTTATTTCGTCTTCAGATTGAAGCCGGTTTATTTTTTCCCACAGTAATTTGCTGCTCATGGTATCCGGTCAACAGACATTAATTATCTTGTGAAGGCAATTGTTTATAATTACCCGTACCTCTTTCATTATGGCTAAAAGTTTCAGCTATGAACAGCAGAACTATCTTAACATTTGTATTGAAGATTCCGACTTTGATGCTGACTGACAGTCATTTTGATTGCTGTACGTTTTCCAAATGTTAGAATCTTGATCTTACTTTGCCAATTCATGCTTTCACATTTACATAAGATTCTTCTTGTTTATTGATGATGCTGTTCAAGTACGTAAAAGTTTCCAATTGTTGCAGAGTTTCTCCATCAAGTGTGATTACGTTGGTGTTCTCTTCGTTGTGTCTAAGGATATTTCTTTTTCCCTTGTGTATATTGAGGTCTACTGATGGAGGGACTACTGCTACAATGACTATATTGACCTGCGTTTGTTGATGTGTATGGTACAGAAGACCTATGTCATCTTCGAAGTCCAAATCTTCTAATTATGCTGCATTAGTTCAATCGATTCTGTGCATAGACAATTTTATACTATATTCATAAAATCCCATGAAGCTATATAAGTATAGCACATATTGATCAGTCTAATAAGTTTTATAACTGTTCAAGTAGACAACGTCATAAACAAATTGTGACTGACAAATCTATTTCAACGAGCATAGTACTAATGGTAAGAAAAATAATTTAAATGTAGCTTACACCAACTACTCTCTTTTCAAAGTGTGTACCGATTGTTCCTTGTCCACCTTCATTCTCTATGTCAAGTCCATCCAAATTAGGACAGTTAAAATGTTTGCGTGCTTCTTCCTGTGTTAAAATATATGAATCCTGAGTTGAAAACACTTCTTTCTGACATTATATAATACTCATCTTTCATTAAAATGATTAAAATAATTAAATTCCTGTAGTATTGTTTGTTTTGAATGTTCCCATTGATGTTTAGGAGTGCAACTGATCAGTCTCTAATTGGCATATATGCATACTATGCCTATTGCCTCGATATAGCACAATATGCTTATATGCCAATTTGGGACTGACCATTTGCAGTCCTAAACATCAATGCGAACATTCAAAACAAACAATACTAAATGAATTTTAACTTCATTCTATCCCACAAGCAAGTGGTTATCAGGACTCAGTGGCCGAGTGGATAACGCGATGGCATTTGAAGCGAAAGGTACTGGGTTCGAGTCCTAGAGTGAACTTTAACAGGTACACCCAGCTGACGAGCCCCAAATAGGACGAAACGAGCATCGAACTGGATCCCACTGCTAGCCACTGTCCATCTTTGCTTACGATTAAAATAGTTGCCTAGCACAGAAGGTCTGATATGTGAATCTTCCGTTGTTTCAACTTTGTGATACAGTGAAAATTAAGAATATTCTCTATAATCCATGTTGATACAATGTACCCAGCATAAAGTAATTTGATAATATCTTATACTTAGATGTGAGGTAATTCGAGATTGGTTTCAGCGAGACCTGACATTCCAATCAGATCTTCACAAACTTAGTAGTTAGTCTTCAGTTCACTAGTAGTTCGAATATATCGGGACGTTTTTTTAAACAAACCTGTGCATTGTCAAACAATGTAAACAACTCAAGTTTCTAATAACAAATAGCTAAGAAACTGACATAAAGTATGTAAGTGACAAAAGATTCGCATGAATTTATGTAGATAGAACTTACAAGCAAGACTGGTGTAACAAAAGACATGAAAGGTTTTGAAAAGGTCCCGGCAGCTGTAACCCATGGACGGTTGATTATTCTGACTGTATTTTCACTGGAAAATAATATAAAATATAAATAGTAAGAGCCAGATATTGGAACAAAAATATGTGAAAATAAAAGATTATAGTATGATATTTAAAGTGGGTCTATCAGTCAGTTTATTGACTACAGCCCCTAAATGCCCTGTTGGGGAGAGTCTGCTCTCCCTCTCGAAATGCTTTCACATGGCCACGCGTATACAGCGTTTACCAGAAAAGTCCTACTCACTGACTTCTCGTGGCATTACTGTTCTTTACGAAATTGAGATGACGAAAAACGAATGTCCAACTCTTTTAACCGGGTCGGTGGACACAGTTAGAGACCAAACAAAAGTAAAAACATTTTCAAATAAATTATATTACACTACATATATGAAATTTTAGTCATCAAAATATATTACCTTGCAGAATATTGTCTTTCATTATTTAGAGGTGGTCTACCTGATTTAGGATCTCTTGGTGTTCTTGGGTTACCTTCTGGATCACGCATCAAAGCAAAATTCGATTTTACAAATCCCTATAATGTATGAAAAAGTTTTCCATTTCAATATGAATACAGTAAGTTCAAACCGAGAAATGGTGATAGACATGAGAAGAATGAACAAAAATTAGATAGAACTAGAAAGGAAGGCCTAGGACCAAGTGGGTTGAAGAATGCTAGTCGGTGGCCTATGCTCCATTGGGAGTAACAGGCGTAAGTAAGTTCAAGAATAAAGTATTCTTTTATTTTATAGAGTTGAGATCGTGAGTCAATTGAAGCTAGACCACCAACGAAAACCTGGAAGCACTGGACGTCCGTTTCGTCCTATTATGGGACTACTCAGCAGTGCGCATCCACGATCCCGCACTCGCGAGATTCGAACCCAGGACTTACCACTCTCGAGCCAGAGCCCTTAACCGATAGACAACTGAGCCGGCATCCAACGGTGTTAATGTTTAATTTCAACTGATCCACGAAGTTGAGCAATGTCATCAGTGAGTTGATATCTCACAACAGACCTGGTTGAATTCCACTGGTTACTGCTTCTCACCAGAATTCCAGGAAATACCTCATGGAATCAGTCACTAGTGAGCACATGATCATTATCAGAAGGGGTTTTGTGGAGATTTGCATGCCGGTTCAGTGGTCTATCGGTTAAGGGTTCTGGCTCGAAACTGGTAGGTCCTGGGTTCGAATCTCGCGAGTGCGGGCTCGTGGGTGCGCACTGCTGAGGACTCCCACAATAGGACGAAACGGCCCGTCCAGTGCTTCCAGGTTGTCGATGGTGATCTAGCTTCAATTGACCCACGATTTCAACTCTATAAAATTACTAAAATCTCCATAAAACCCCTTCTGGTATTCTTTTATTTATTGAAAAACGGTTTATTATAACAAATTCTTAAACCATAGTATATCATATATACTGCTAAAATAAAAGAACTTTTTACTAAATTAGAGCAAGTAGTTTCATAGTATTTGAGCGCTGAGTTGATGTAAGAACACATGATCTTAGTCCAGGGAGCCGAGAAGCTCAGGGTCGAGTGGTTAAGCGCTCGCGCGCTAAAAAAAGATCCTTAGTTCGAATCGGATTGTGGATCAGCACTGTTAAGGAGTTGGTGTAAGACATTAAAATGAAAGGAAGCTTGAACCAGATTGTCAGGCAAAACGTTAGATTTACCTTCAAATTCATTCACTGAGATATTACAAATCCATATTCTTTGTATTCAATGTATTACTAATACAATTAGCTTTAATAGGGTTTAACCATCTAAGATACAAAACATGTTAACTGTTCTGCCACGCGTATTTTCATATAGCTAGAAATTTGTACAATAAACTAATTCACTACTGAGAAGTAGTAAACATGAAATTTACTTATAATCATTGACTAATTTTTAGGTCAGAAGGGGTTTTGTGGAGATTTTAGTAATATTATATAGTTGAAATTATGAGTCAATTGAAGCTAGACCATCATGGAAGGTCTGGAAGCACTGAAAGGATTAGTTGATTTTAGACATAAACACCATCGGATGCCGACTCAGTGGTCTGATGGTTAAGCGCTCGCGTGTGAGACTTATATGTCCTGGGTTCGAATCTCACGAGGCGGGATAGTGGATGCATACTGCTGAGGAATTCCACAATAGGACAAGTTGGTCGTCCAAAGCTTCTAGGTTTTCCATTGTGGTCTTACTTTAATTGACTGATGATTTCAAGTATATATTAGTTCTTAACATTATTAAATTTAAACTCGAACCCAATAACAACTCAATAACAATATCTAACACATATTTATCAACAGTATAAACACTAACCAAGGCATGACCTAGTTCATGTATAGCTGTTCCAATTAACATTGTTTTCGCTGGCTCTTGAATCTCCATTTTCTGTGGACAAAAATTGATTGAACCCATAATTGGCCTGTAAATTATACGAAAAATATACAAATGCATTGTAATGTAATATGTTATGTGAAGTATTTTTCATCTACTAGTGAATATAAGGTTGACTAGACAGAGGTATTAAACAGATCAGGCTTATACTTCAGAAAGTATTCGATACTTCTTTGTATAGATAAATATACATAGTTGTTAGAAGTGATCAACTAAACCTGGAACTTTCAACATACAAGTCACAAATTATTACTGTAATGAACGACAATACAAGTGGAGATAACTGAAGGTATATAAACACAAAATTACAGAATATCTTAGTAAAATCTAAGAACCATACAGTGAATACTTCATTTGTAAAATGTCAGTCAGGCGTCTCAGACTTCAATGTTCTTTCATTTCCACATCAATCACTCTTTGTTCTCTTTGTCTTTTCTTTGATCATCTTAACCTTCTGCCACCAGTCATTTCACTTTCGATGGATGATATATACTACTTATATCTGTCGACATCAGTAGCACACACCACATCACTAATTGTTATGTGTAAATTATTATTATTAATATTCGGGACTTACTCCTATTTTACAGTAATGATGCATTAAGGTAAATAATGCTTATTCTTTTTTATTCTTAATCTATGTATCAAATCTCTACCAATACTGATCATGATTGAGATCCCGCACATGGGATTTGAACCCAGGACCTTTGATCTCATACGAGAACACTTAACCTCTAGACTAGTGAGAGGACATCCAACAGTGTTAATGCCTCACTTCAACCAATTCTTTGATATTGTGCCACCATCTTCAATTGTCTTCGGTGTATAACTACCTTACACACCGGTTGAATTACTTAGAATATATGTAAGTGATATACTACCATAAAACATAGGATGAATAGTATTCCTCTATTGTGTGATATGATTTAGGTTGACGAAAATATATTCAGCAATGATAATCACTCATAGGTCAACATATTTGTGGTTTATTTAGAAGACGATTTACTTCCTTAAAACATCAATAAATAATACTGTTTTAAACATCATATTACTAAACTATACATTTTTATTACCTATCAGTTGTAGGATGCATTTCACATGGACCAGCATATGCTAATGTTGCTCCAGATAGACAACCTTGTTTATTTTCACTTTCAACAAATAGAACATATTCATTTGGTGCAAATCCTGGACCATCTTGATAAACATCTCTTATATCACCACCTCCATTTCCCATAGCACATCCCTGTTATTTGAAAACAGAAAGAAAAAAGGCTGGATACTTAGATACTTAAGTAGTATGTAGTCAAACAGTAAATCAAGTAGAATAATAAGATGAAATAGAAAAAAAAATTTTCTATTCTATTCTATTTTGATGTAAATGTTCATGATATAAGATCCATATATTAATTAAAAACTGAAGGGAGGATATATAGTGAGACTATAATTTATGGACGAGCCAATCAGAAGTGTTTGAGGGATTTCAAGGTCATGGCACCATTTTTTATATCTGATGCTCATGTACGATCGGTTCACAAAAGATTTTAGAGAAGACTTAACAATTAAGTGGTTACAATAAATGGGACTACTAACAAATTCTTTTATTTATAGTTGTAGTAATTGATTGACTTGTGAACTTTGTGCAGACTACCCTGATGATGTTGTCCTTCGATGTAAAATATTTTGAACGATGACGTTTGATAGAACCTTTTTCGCTGGATCCAGATTGAGACTAAGGCATATTATAATAATTGCCACGAACTGTATAAGAAAAGCAACAGTAACAATGGCTACAATATTCTCATATATTACTGAAGCTTTAGCTGTTCAGTGGTATGAGTATTGTAGGGACATATCCATGATAAAAAATCCCGAAGTTATACAACTGGAGTACACACAAACAATAATGAAAATATGTGGTCGAGGCTGACAGGGTTTTTGTAACCTTATCATGTCTCCAGAGACGGAGTATTATGAAGCCATATGAATGAGTTCCTACAGTATGTATTACTACTTTAGAAACATTCGACCTCTTTCTAACCTTGACAGGTTTTTGGACCATATGAAAGAAGTGCATCCACTTTAATTATTTGGTTTCGTATGATATATATGTTTACTCTATGCTGACTGTTTACTGCTTGACTATTAAATCTTAAGGTCACTTAAGATTGGCTCAAAGATCATCCATGAATGATAGTCTCGTAGGATATATAGTTATAACTGGTATCAATGACAATGTAAGAATGATTCTTCTTTGCTAAATCAATTATTATAAAGTATCTTTTGTAATGTAAACTTACAGATGCATATTGATCTGGAACTGGATGATCATAACATAGAGCTTTCTGTTTACATTGTGATTTACAGAACTTTTTACCTGTTCTACCATCTGTATAAAATACTGGTTCAACACATCCTCTATGAAAATGAAAGTAAATACCACATTTTATAAAACAATGAATGTAATAACTGAAAATCAATAAACATACTGAAAAAACATAGTTTTGTAATGAGTAAAATTGTCAAGAATGAAAAGGGATTGAAATGTGAATAATAGTTGTGGGTAGATTATCAAACTCACGTTTTATGATCTTGATAATTTTATAGTTGAAATCATGAGTCAATTGAAGCTAGATCACCATGGAAAACCTGGACACATTGAACAGCCGTTTCGTTCTATTGTAGGACTTCTCAGCAATGCGCATCCTCAATCCCGCCTCGTGAGATTCAAAACCCAGTCTTGTGCGTGAGTGCCTAAACACTAGACCACTAAGCCGATATTCAACGGTGTTAATGTCTAACTTCGAACAATCCATGAATTACTGAATTACTTAGAAACCTTATTGAAATACCGATTATAAAGCACTTAGATGAGTTCCTTATTACACAGTTCATTAAAATGAAGTTTAAGTAAGTTATTTCAACAGTAATCTTATTAATGTATTGAATGATACATTTCTAGGTCTATCCCTAATAAACTTGACATCTATCAATAGAATTACAAAAGTTCAATTCGAAATCGTATACAATGAAACAACTACTCTGCTTAGAAATGTAAATACTTATATTTAACGTTGTTTACTTGTATCTTCCCATTGTTATTTTGAACTGTAATTGATCAGTCTCTTATTGGAATATATGTATACTGTACGGAGTGCCTTGATATTGTCTGAAATCACAAGCTTTATAAGCAAAGATGGATAGTGACTAGCGGTGGAATTCAGGATGCGCGTTTCATCCTATTCGGGATTGTTCAGTTGCATGTACATTCATCTCGGAGTTGATGTTCACTCTGTGACTGGAACCCACTATTATCGTTTCAACCGCTATGATAGTCACTTACTTGTGCAATGGATTGAAGTTATATTGACTTATTGTTGTTTACTTGTATCTTCTCATTAATTTGAAAAGTTTATTATTAAGGAAAAAAAAGCGGTAACTAAATCAAAATATCAATAATAATCAACTTACCTATCAATAAGTAATTTTCTATTTGGTGGTCTTCTAACACTTAATGTTCTTTCCCAAAAATTAAGAGCTTTTTCTACTATTTCAGACTAAATGAATACAGAAATTTATTGAAGATAAGAAAGGGATTTACATGTTTTTAGTAATGAACATGTTGGTTTTGTCAAAGATCTATCAGTATGATAAGTTCTAAGTTATCCAGGAAACCGTCAAAAGGATTACGAAAGCATATGAACCATCAGTAGAATATCTTCGATTGATTTAAGCTGTAGATAGTCAATTACTATTATAGATATACTGTAAAGAACATTCCCGGATACTATCAGCAACAACGTTTTATGGGACAGGACAAACCAGCTCTCAGATGAAGAGGAAATTAAGGAAAGATGTTGGAAGTGGATCGGACATACATTAAGGAAATCACCAAACTGCATCATAAGGCAAGCCCTAACATGGAATCCGGAAGGGAAGCGGAAAACAAGGGGGCCAAAGAATACATTACGCAGGGAAATAGAAGAACATATGAAAAGGATGAATGTTAACTGGAAAGAACTGGAAAGGATTGCTCAGGACAGAATTGGATGGAGAATGTTGGTGTGTGGCTTATGCTCCTCCACGAGGGATAACAGGCGTAAGTAAGTAAGTACGGAAAGAATATTCATTGATTATTTCTTGTATATAATGAACAAAGACTCCATTAAGATCCTTTTGAAATATCTTCCAATGATCGAACATATTATTAACCTAAGCCTTATAAGATATGTTTACTAAATTTTATTATAAAATGCTGTTCAATACTGATCCAGCTGATGAAGCATTCATTAATAATTAGAATGTCTTTTCTAAACAGATAGCCAGTTTACATACATAATAACAATTAACTAAAAAGTAGGTTTTTTTGGAGATCTTAGTAATTTTATGGTTGAAATCATGAGTCAATTGAAGCTAGACCACCATAGAAAACCTGAAAGCACTGAAAGTCCGTTTCCCCCTATCGTGGGACTCTTCAGCAGTACGCATCCACGATCCCGTCCCTAGAGTTTTGAAACTAGAACCTATCAGTCTAACTAGCAAACGCTTGACCACTAGACCGCTGAGCTAGCCGACATTCAAAGGTGTTAATGTCTAACTTTAACCAATCGACGAAACTGACCATTGTCTACAGTGATTTATTATCTTACAACAGACCTAATTGAACTCCATTGGTCACTGCTTCTCACTGGAACTTCAAGAAATACTTCTTGGAGCCAGTCATCAAGACAAGTAATGAAATATGATTCACAGTAAACAATACAGTAAAACAATAGAGTAAACAATAGGGAATTAAAAACAAAATTAATCTTACTTTGAATTGACCAAATAAATTATGCCTTTGAATACTTTCTCTATATATAACAATAAATTTCAATCGATTTCCACCATATTGACGTTTATCAATCGGTTCCCCTAAGATACCAAAATTCTATCAAAAAAAAAACTTCTTTAAAATCATCTTAATACTTACCATTGAAATATTTGGCATAATTTGACAAATATATTCAGTATATGTAAACCCTATTAAGATGATAAAGCATAGTAACAACAAGAGATTTCTTGAACAAGGTATCATTTCCATTAGATACAATGATAAGGGTTATTAATCTATTACGTAATAGTTTTTATTATGGTAATCATTTCATTTATATACTAAAATTATAAACTAATATCATGGTTACTTAGAATTGAGAAACTTATGATTCTCAATTAAATTTAGTACTTTATAAAAAATAATTAAAAAATAAAGAAACTGGATTTTGGAAGAAGGAAAAAAAAGAAAAAAAAAGGAAAAAAAAAGAGGAAAGTGTAAATTTTTCAAGTTTATTATGCCAACTTTTGGACTCATGTGATATTGATGATTATGATATTATTCATTATAAAGATAAACTTATAGAGGTGGTAAAACCCCCCTAGACACACTTTCTCATCATACCTCCTTGTTTTTTGTTTTTTTAATGAACTAACGTTAACGATAACCCGGATGGTGTAGGATCGGCTTAATCATCTAGTCTATCTATAGCCATAAATGATTAGGATTAATAAAAAGTATTATTGCATAATTATTGTTGGTTTAAAAACAAGGAAAGAATGAGTCTGCCCAAAAAAATAAAAGAATGATGTAATGATTTTGGGTAATCAATGCAAAAACAACTATTGAGCACCGATAATTGTGTTGTGCTTCGATATAGTACTATTCTTCAGAAGGGTCTATTAGGCTTCATCATGTTACATAATCTTATATGTATCAGTTGAGATTTAAATTATTAACAACTGAAATATTCTTGAATTTTTATTACATTGAATAATCATCAAAATATAAATAGTAAATAGTATTTGGTTGTATTTGGAGGTAGAAACTGGAACTCAAAACAATTGCCAACCAACACCAAGATAAGAATTTACAATATGAATGTCAAGACAATTCTACTGTATGGGTCGGAGACGTGGAGAACTACGAAAGTCATCATCCAGAAGATACAACTATATATATACAGTTATCCATGTAGAATACTTGGGATCCGTTGGTCAGAGACTATCAACAAAAACCTACTGTGGGAGAGAACAAACAGATTCCAGTTGAGGAAGAAATCAGGAAGGAGAGCTGAAATGGGATAGGACACATGTTGAGGAAAGCAGCCAACTGTATCACAAGGCAAGCCCTCACCTAGAATCTTCAAGCTCAAAGGAGAAGAGAGTTAGTGTCGGCCAAACCAAAACATGGCATCAGTGCTTGAAGTCACTAACTTCTAGTCTGAGCCATGTTGGCAGATGCAGACTACTTGGTTGGGGTCCGCGTGACTATCGTAATAAATGGTTGGAGACTCTGGGTGACATGACTCAGAATCGATCACAATGACGTAGGTGTATACACTCTTTATCTTCCCTTAAACCTTGAGATTAAAATTGCTTCATAAATTTTTTCCTTCCTATACTAAATCCTTATATACAACCTTTCTTTATATTACCACCACTAAATTAATTACTTCTATGAATCCGGTGTTCATCTTATTGTGCTAACGATGTATGGAAACTTGGACCGATGCATATATGTGCCTGGTCCTACGTTGTAGCTGACTGACTGACTGATGGTTTTTATTAATTATTGACAAAACACTATTTTGGCTTTCGTATATTTTCAAGTAAATTCATAATATTATTAGGAGAACTGGACATCGTATACTAGAATCAGGCTCCTTAAATACCCTGGTACGGCTGAGAACGAGGAGAATTGGCTCTACCTCTTGAAATGCTTCCACACGGACACACGTATACAGCCTCTGCCACAGAAGTCCTACTAACTGCTTTCTCGTTGTTTACAAAATAGAGAGAACAAAAAGCGAATATCCAACGCTTTAATCAAGTTGGTGGACACGGAAAATTCACCTAGGAGAGTTAGAAAACCCTGAATCCAAACCAATGATGCACATGGACTCCAGTTTCCTCAGGGAACAAATAACGTGTGAACTAATTATTGATCATTGGCTGCCATGTGACTGCATCTCTTTACGATGTTCCATTAACTTGTAGATTAGAAAATTAGGTCAAAGTATTCTTGTGTGCCCCCCCCCAAGTAAACCAGCTGCTTCAGTTTTGGCACTCAAGCAGTATCATAGCTTTCATACAATTAAATGTAATTATATTTGGTACCCCATTGTATCAATATCTATGTGTTCAAATAATAAAAAAAAAAATATAAGTAACCTTTACACACTTCCTCTTTCTTTGTTACTTTCTTTGTACTTCTATTTATTTAAAGAGTTTCTTATTTTTAGAACAAAATTTTCATTACAACGTTTATATGACCCTTACAATTTGATACCTGATTATCATTCTTTATAATTCATTAAAAAAGTACTTTCATTGTATCATTCGAAACTATTAGTACATAATCTCTCTTATATTGTAGTGATACATTTCTTAATTCTTTTTTTTTTTCATATTGCACATACTACAATCTTGTAGTATCAATTTATTTATTAAGCCCATATTACTTTATCCTACCTACTGACCAAGCCAATTCATCTGTACATTGAGTCATATTTTGATCTTGTTCATTATTCGCTTGACTATACTTGACTATACCTTGACTATACTTTTATATGAGCATATATGTGTACATTTCGTATTTTATTCATCATATGTCTGTCACTCATTTTTGTCCGACTATAAATGTTAATTAACGCTTGCATAAATCTAGTTGGCTTCCCAGCCAACATCCAATGCGCATTATTTTTGCTTTGCTCTCGAATTGGCTTCACAGCCAATCTCCAATACGCATCATCTTTCGCCTCACTCTCGAGTTAGCTTTCCAACCATCTCCCATAAGCATTATTTTCGCTTCTTTCCGTTTTTATCTATTCGCTATATCACTCTGATTCTCTGGCCAGATCAATGAGTGTAAAAATTATATGTATTCTAAATCTATTTTTGCATTTGACTTATCTAACTCCGTTATTCACTAACGCAGATAAAGTCATTTATTACATACGAGAATAGACAGTACATACGATCAAAAAGGAATCAGATTTACGGCGCTACAATCTCTTCTTATTTCATTTCATTAAACATTGGTGACCTGTTTAAACATCTGGGCTATCTAATCTTGTCATCTAGATATTTCAACAAGTTATCTAATTTTGTTTGTTTGTTTTAATACATCATTATACATATTAATTGCACAACCTATTCAGCTGCATTTCTGTAAAATGTAAGACCTTTCGCTGTAAAGGATACAGAATGCCTAATCAGAGATAACGTGGTTGCTGGCAAGAAATATGCAGCATAAAGAATGTACAATATCCAGATGTTGATTAACTAGGTTGCTAAGTTCTAACTGGCGATCATTCAATATTTATCGTCAGGAAGGACGAAGAAGTAAGAAACGAAAAGTTGTTGAAATACTTTGTGCTGAGAATTCTATATTGTACCAAATAATATAATATTGAATAAAGCTAATAATAATAATAATAATACTTTAAACCATTCGCACATTTCACCATTCTTTTGTGTCTTTTTGTTATATCCCCTGGTGAATTATGAATCATAAATCTGAGGTCTATTTATGGACAAATGTAATATGCCTATTCCCTATTGGATAGTTGTTAAATAAGTGACCTGATCGTTTCCGTGTTCCTCTTATCATAACCTTTATTTTGACCTTGGAACTATTATTGTTGATTACTTTCCCCTTAGCTACAGCCACATTGGCCAATTACTGTACAAATGTTATTTTTCTATTTTTTGGTATAATTGGGTCTGTTTGGTTAGTATATATAACCCAGTATGCTTGTGAATAATGATTCATATTGCTGAGGCTGCTATTTGTGTTTTGGACTTAACGGGCTGGGCTAGGCAGATATGAAGGACCGAATAGCACCCAATACTGTTCGTACGTATTTCCTGTATCATTGGACGTATATATATATATTAAGGGCTCAAAAATCTATACGTTATAATACTTTTTTTTTCTGGTTAATTCTTCTGATTGCAAACTCTTGAATCAGTTCCGGAAGCTCATCTAATAATCATAGATTGACTCCATACGACAGCTTTAGTATGAAACAAAAGAATCGAAATATGTAAAAGAATGATATAATCTAAAGTTCTTATATGTACAGAAAATTTAAGATAATTATAGCATTGCATACGACATTGAGCTTCTGAAATGTCTTGGAACTTTATTAAATATATAATATCAGAATAGGTTATTATCCAATCAGAAATGTAACATATGACTCTTCACTTTCTAGATATTTCTGAAATACTTCTTTCTAATGTTATTTGGATAAAATGTTTTTTAGGGTTTTCAAGGCTCCTCTAGGTTGTTGTGCTTTTTTTTTTGAGGAAGATTTTGGATCTTCCTCAACACGTTTTTCTTAAATAATATAGAACATATTTAAACACGAAGAATGTTATACAAGCATCACAGAAATGTTTTCTTTACAATAGTAATGTACCAATAAGGTGTTTCTGAATAGTACATCAATGGTATACCAATGTGCATTACAATGCAATCCCCAACTTGGAATCCGGAATGGAAGCGGAAAAGAGGAAGGCCAAAGAACACATTATGTCGGGAGATTGAAGCAGATATGAAAAGGATGAATGTTAACTGAAAAGAACTGGAAAGGATTGCTCAGGATAGAATTGGATGGACAATGCTGGTGTGCAGCCTATGCTCCTCCACGAGGGGTAACAGACGTTGGTCAGTAAGTAATAAGGTGATTCTGATTAATAATAATAATAATAATATTATTATTATTATTAATACTAGTAATAATGATTTCTGTCTCAAGGCCCGCTTACCCGAGTATGACCCTATTTTCATTATTCAACTTTCAATTAGAACTTTCATTAATTGGCTATCCTGTTCACTACTAGCACACCTGACTACTTAACATCAACTTGTAATTATATGTAATTATATGCAGTTATACAATCTAAATCATTATGATCATTGACTAATGAATTTCTTTTAATAGTTTAACATTTTCTCATATGGTTGAGATCATGAGTAAATTGAAGCTAGATCATCATGGAAAACCTGAAAGCACTGGACGACTGTTTCGTTCTATTATG